GTCGGTGCTAGAGAGCGCTGCTGTTAGTCGTTCGGACGTTAGACGTTTTTGCGCGTCTATCTGTACAGAGAGAGAGAGAAAGTAAACGAGAAGAAAAAAAAAACGTGCGCGTCTACGTTAGGTAGATTACAAAGAGAGAGAGAACGTCGATATATTCCTTCTTTTTAGATATAACGCGATATCGCATTGTTCCCCCCCTCCCCCTTATGTGTAAGTTAATTAGGATTAATAAGAAGTAAAATAAGTATATAAGCAAAAGAGATGGTCGCGCGTGAATAATGAGCGACCGATCGCATTAAAGAGAATCGCGTCAAGACAATCAAGCACAGTAGTGGGTTGGGTATAATAGAGAGGAATCATTAAAAAAAAAAAAAAAAAAAGGATCGTGAGAGGGAGAGGTGGAAAGTAGCTACACGCGATATTTCCCCTCCCCTGCGGATTACCGAGTGAAAGAGAGTAAACGAGTATTCGTGTCTTCATGTGATCTCCAGCCTCTGTACTACTTCTGTACACGCTCTACATATATATACACACACACACACACACACATATATATATTATATATATATATTATCTACATAGATATTTATGTATATAAACTTCTACATATATATATATATATACACACATACGATATATATATATTATATATATTTACACTTATATACATACGTTTATATGTATACATCCTTCGCACATATCCGATCGTTGGGCCTGGCCAGCTGATCCTTGTCGGAAGTAGAGCAAGGCCCGACCGTCTCTTCCCTATCTGCTCCTATTTTCCAGGGGCGTTCTCTGTCAATCTTCGTGACAATCATTTTTCAGCTAGCTCTCTTAGCTAAAATAAATACTTGGCGACTAGGTGAATCTCTTTATAAGAAATTGAAATCCACGATCCTCCGAGGCCTCTTCGAAGGGGGATCGCGATTACATGGAAGGAGGAAAGGAACAATCACGAGAATCCACGTACCTACGACGTTTCAATTAACGTGCGAGCGAGTCGTGCGAGAGTCATTATTTCGTCTCTCTTCAACCTCCTCGCACACTCGACACGCACATACGTGTGTGTGTGTGTATGT